TTTTAACTGGAATAATATAGAGATACATTTATCGGATTATTTTTACGTACACGTTACTACATTGTTGTAATTGGTGTTTATTTTAATAGTGTCTCGGAGTTGTATGCAGCTATATTTTTGTTTACTTCATATATTTCAAACTTTATGTTTATGATATTTATGTTTGTATATCTTTACCGCCAATCTGCGATTGGTTACTTGTAAATACTTTGTAGTTGTAAAATAAACATGTAAAAAAAAAAAAAAAAAAAAAAAATTTAAACTATGCAAATATTGCTTGTTGTAATACCAGTAAATCCAAACTGGTGCCTCTTTATCGTCAACAGAATCACGTCAAGTCTCTTTCATTTTAAAAGAAAATTCTCAAAATAGCTAGCTCCTCCCCAATTTCATTTCACAATTTATACACATTAAAATATATTCTAAAAAAGTACAATTCAAGAAATGATAGTTAAATTCGGCAATCGTTTTTTAAAATTAATTTCGGAAAATCAAACATTTCATTTTGTGGAGCTTCATTTTAGAATAAAATAGTTTTAAAATATTTTGATTTTTCTCTAGAATTAAATTATATCTCTGTTAAGAAAATATTTGAAAAAATCATATTTATCTCGGGATAATAAATTTTTAAACGCTTAATAAATTGTTTTATTTTTAATGTATGTATAAATTTTATGATATTTGTAATTTACAAATGGTTCTCAATGACAAAATATGATTGGTCTTCTACTGGCGTTCTTTTATCTTTTATTAGTGGTTCAGACCTCTTGGTTCTAAGCCAGAACTCTAATAACTGCGCCACAGCCGCACTAAATTATTGTTGATGATTTTATATTATTTCAATAACTTTAGCTGTATAACTTTCTATTATATTATAGTTTTTAACATATCAATAATTCATACTTTATTAATATTAATTTTTTAATATTAAAATTTATTAATAATATTTTAATATATGTTATAATCAAAACAGTTAAAGATCGTATTTCAATTGAACTCTATTCTACATGATAGATCTAAATATAGATCGAATTATCAAATTATAAGCTTAGGATCTATTTAAAGCTTATAAATCATTTTTAATCATTTCAAATATCTTTAAAATAATTTTTTAGTTTTGTAATGTTGATAATTTTATAATATACATTGTTTTTTATATTTATATTATACTTTTAAATTATATATTCTTTATATTATATATTTATTTTTACTTTATTTTTATATATTGTTGAGAATTTTATACTATTTTTTTAACTATTGCTGCATTAATAACTTCATACTATATTATAGTTTTAAAGCTATCAACAACTCATATTTTATTTTTTAATAATATTCATATTGAATGTATTAATAATTATCAATTCTTATTGCATTAGTATTATTTTTAGGAAATTGATAGGTTGTAAGCTTAAACACACATGTTTTTATTTAAATCACAAGCATATATACTTTTTACATTACAAAAGATATCAAGTTTAAAACTTTAAATTATCAATTTTTAAAAACTTTTATTACTTTTTTTCAAATGTTAAGTGTGATACATTTTTTCTGGTGTTGAAGAGTCCTCATTTAGAGTCGTAAGTGGAATTTCCGAAGGGTGCGGATGAAGGGTGTGCAAAAGTGATCTTTTAATTTTCATTAGACCTCTGCGAAAGTCTGCGTGATAAAAACAGTAGATCAAAGGGGCAGCCACGGCATCAAAGAAGGCTAAGTACTTTGTAATGAAACCTAAATGTTCCTCAAGATTTGAACCTCCAAATTTTTTAGGAAAACAAGATTTACAAAAACTTAATAGAGGGTAATATATAAAAGACGGTGTCCAAAAAACGCCATAAGAAACAGTCAACACTACAGTTAAATATGCAACTTGTCTATAACGCTTTAAGTCTTTGTCACGCATTTTAAGTGTACCATTCTGTTGAAGAATTTTACCACCAGACTTAGTATGGTTATCGCTCAAAACTCGAAGTCTGTAAATAATATATGTATACATTATAACAACTAAACAATAGGGCAAAGCCGTGTTAAAAAGCAGCATAAATAGAACCCACTCTTCCTGCTGTTTGTAAAAATACATTGTTATAAATGTTTTATTTGATTTAGTTTGATTTAGTTGAGTTGCAGGAACAAAGGGAATCATACAGAGAGCAAAAATATAAGCCCACAACAAAAACAAGCCAATACACACACGTTTTACAGTAACTCGAGGTTTATACAAATTAAGCCAATATGTCGCTAAAAAGCGATCTATGCTAATACAAAATACTCCAAGAACAGTTCCATAAAACGTAATCATATATGTAACTCTAAATGAGTTATTGACAAATCGAGCCCAAAATATACTTTTAATGGTGAATTTTTTTGCAGCATAAAGTGGTAACACGACCAAACCTTGAAATAAATGTATCATTAACAAGTTAAGAATAAGCATACTAGACGGTCTGTTTTTTAAACTTTTTGTTGCTCTGATAATGTATATACATAGAGAATTTAAAAAAATTGCCGCCACGGCAAGAACTATTAAAAATGTCACTGCAGCTGATGTATCCAACATTTTAAATAATCATTGACTCGATTATTTCGGTTCTTCTTTACAACTTCACTACATTTAAAAAATCATTATCGACCATTTTAATGAGCCAAAGCACTCAATAATTACTGACGTTAAATTATTATTTTTTTTTTTAGCGAAGATTGATATTTAATGTCTAAAAAAAGTTAAGAAAATCAAAATAATAAAACTATTCAAATTTAATTAAATAATATCAAATTTAAAAATTATCGGAGTAATGGGAATTGCCCTAAGATATAATAAAATATAAAAGATCCATACCTGTGAAAAATAATATTTATAAATAAAATCAAATTTTGTATAACTTTAGTTGAAAAAAGATTCTCTGTAATTTAAGGCCCGGATCCGACGCGGATCATATTTTATTCTAAATTAGTACAGAAAAGGATTATGGAAAGCGATTAAAGATTCGTACAGTTTAGCAAAGTCTACAACGAAAAAAAATTAACAAAAATAAAACAAAAGTTAAAAAAAAAAACTAATTGTATTAAAAAATTTCAAAAACTTTAGAGATTTTTTTCCATATATATGTATGCATGTGTGAACATTTAAGAGTAATTTTGCGTATACGTGAATTGCATACATGCGTACACATTAAAGGATCTCATACTAATGTTATTCAACTTTAAAAACAGTTTTTCTTCCTATTAAAGTTGCTTGTATATACAATTATTATTTCAAATTTGTTGGATAAAAATATAAAAACTATTTTTTATATTACCACCTGACATCAATAATATATATAATATAAATACAAATTTACTATTATTACTTTATTTCCAATATTATTGGTGTCACGTGATAAAAAAGTTTTAGTTGAGTTAAATAGTTGTTTGTGTTTATGTAAAGGGTGTTGCCAATAGGTTCAGGGTTGTTTTTGGTTAGAATTTGGAGTTGTTTATATTATATTGTTTATATTTAATTAGCTAATTGATAAGCTAAAATTAACTCGTCAATTAGCTAATTATAAGTTTCTTGGGTACTTGACGTGGTGAATATGTTGACTTTGAAGTCAGTAATTGACAAGAAATTACAAAACCATATAAATCAAAAATTTCATTTTGACAACTTTCAATACCACATGAATTAAAAAAATAAAAAGTTTTAAAAAATAATAAGAATTCAATAAATAAAAAAAAAATTAAAAAATTTCACGTTTTATTTATAATTTACAAATGATTTTACATAAAAATAAATTAAAAAGTTATAAAAATATTTTTTTATTATTATAATTAAAATTATAGCTGAAAATGTATTGTCATTAATTAAAATAAATGAACAGCGTTCCTAAAATTTAAAGTCTGTAGCAATCTTATAGACGTTCGTAAACAAAAAACTGTTGTCCGTAATAATTAAATTAAAGTTCCTATAAAAATAATTTATCTCAACATTTTATAAATATTTTTGACTTATATATGAGGAGTACATTACGGCGTCACTGAAAGTCGGTTGTAAAGGACCACTAATTCCTATTTGACAATATGCGTTGTAAAAATCTTTCGACAAATCTTCTACTTTGGGTGGTGTTACATTTAGGGTGCTGTCAGTTGAAAATTTGCTGGTACATTCCCTGTGAAATATGAAAAATCAAAGATATCATGTAAATTAAAAGTCTTAGCTTTCTCCTACTTGATAGATTTTATGAAAGCTAATCTCTTAGCAACAAAATCTAAACAAACTATTTGTACAAGTAGTGTAATCTGTGGAAACAAACGTTTGCACAGATTACGTATATATATATACACGGAGTGGTCAGGTTTGGGGGTTGGAGTGAAAGATTTTATTCCAAAACCTATTTTTTGATAAAAAATCAAATATTAAAAAAGATTTTTTTACACTAGCTATTGCAAAAAATGAAATTTGTTTTTGTAAAATATTTTCAAATAAAAAGGTATGCTAATGTAAAAACATCTTAATTACACTATATACAAAATATATAATATAAATATGCATAAATATAATATAAATATGCATAAATATCATAACATACTGTTTATCGTCACTTTATAAAAAACAAATCAAACTTTGTTTAACTTATATAAACTAACTTTACTCACAAATAGATCAATTTAAAAATATAAAAAAATATAGAACGAAAAATTTAAAGATAAATTATTTGATAGTTCAGTAAAATTGACTTAAAATCTTCAATTTATTTATTTGGTTGAAATAAATTTCCAAAAGTAAATATTACTTATGTTAAGATTACTATCTGTAATATCTCTATATGAGTAAAAATATATATAATAAAAAACATTTTATTAGTAATTTTTTTATTAATTATTAATATTTACTATTATATAGATATGAATAATTGATACATGCTTTTTTAATATTTAAATCTTCGAATGAATTCGTACGACCGTTACATAGATGGACACCATTAAATTCATACTTACAAATGTTACTCCCGTGAACGTATCAAAAAGAACCGTATCGCAATTGAATTACGCAATTAAATTACGCAACTACAAGTATACAAATTTATTTGCGCATAATCTATGTAACAAATTTATTTGCGTAATATGTTAAAATATTTAAAAAAAAAACAACGACAAAACAATATATACCGTATAGAATGCAAAGAAATAAATAAAAATTCAATCAAACAAAATATTTTTTAAAATAAAAAGTATTGCTATCCCTCTGATTTGTACAAAGTCTTTTGTAAATTTACCTTTAAACAATAAATTTTATTTTACTGTTTACCGTCGCGTGAACGTAAAAAGAAGCGCTATTATGAAAATAAATATAAAAACAAATGATTTTATTTCACAAGCCGCAATTTGAATTGACTTTAATTAAAAAATAATATTAATGTTGAGTCACGAGTAATATTTACAGATAAAATCTAATTTGACATTATATCTTTAACAGGAATTACATTTGTCTTTAATGCTAATAATTCGTTTTTAGTAAATGAATGTTTGCGAAATGAAAATAATAATACAAAAACACAATATAAAAAACGCACTGAAAAATATTTTTGCGCGCAATTCTGTTTACCCTTTTCGTGCCAAAGCTGTTCATTTTATTTATCATATGTGCGCCTATAATATACCAATACCTCTCTAAAAGTTATTATTCAATCCTATTAATCCTATTATCTTAAATATTACCTTTTGTACCCCCCCCCCTCCTCCTGTTCTTTCCTTTTTGTTAACAATATATAGACATATATATTGAGCTTAGGAGAGTAAAAACTATTAATTTACGGATTGTTTTAATGTTTAAAATACTTTTCGTATTGCTTTGAGAAATAGAATTATAAATGATCCGAATGAAGCTCTTCGAATCCTTGATGAAATGACGTTAGTGATTTGTCTTGTGATTTCTTGATTCATACTGGGAAAAATATTGACAGACTAAAACACTTGCAGAAACTATTGTCTGTCAACTAACCCAACATGTTCAAAAGGATAAAGGATATATACAAAACAAGGATATCATCTATATTTAGATAACTATCACAATAAAGTTGGTTTGCTTGAGTATTTTTATGAGAATAATGTTAACTGCACGAGTTGATTGCAGCCAATATCCCAGGGAGAAAATATAATGAAAACAAAAATGAAGTTTCAACGAGGGTAAAATGATTTACAAATGTGTGGTCCATTTATAGTGCAGGTCTAGATTGACACCAGGCCTGTTCATATACTTTCAACATTTACTATCCAAATTATGAAGCTGAAGCTGCAAACAGTACGATATGTGTAGCAAAAAAAAAAAAAGGGGTAGATGGTGGAATAAATGTTACATGCCCCTCCCCCATCACAATTAAAGATTACAATTCTGTTAACCCTTTTCGTGCCGAAGCTGCACATATATCTCTCTAAAAGTTATTATTCAATCCGATTAATCCTATTATTTTAAATATTAACCTTTTGTACTCATAGACATATATATTGAGCTTAGGAGAGTAGAAACTATTAATTTACGGATTGTTTTCATGTTTAGAACACTAAAGATAAAAATAAATGCAACTGTTAGACTTTTATTGCTTTAAGAAATAGAATTATAAATGATTCAAATGAAGCTCTTCGAATCCTTGATGAAATGATGTTAGTGATTTGTCTTGTGATTCATCAGAGTCTGATGACAGCGAATTTCAAGAGAATAAGACTGTTATTTACTCACCAACAGCTCCATCGTCAGTAAGTCGGTCATTATCATCAAAAAAGATTTCATCGTCATTGTCCAAAGTTCATGTTAGTTTTGAAGATGATTCAACGAAAAAAATAGATGTGGAATTTGCTCTATAAAGACTCTATAAAGGAATCTACAATAAAATTTGCTAATAACGATGTTACTGTAAATAAAGAAAGAAAAATGCGTAAACAAACAACAATTCCAACGATAAAATCAACCTTTATCAAAACATATCAAAAACTTCATACCATTAAGACTAAGAAATCTAATCTCCCCTATTGCAATTAAAGATTACAATGCCAACATTTGTGGTGTAGATTCAGCAGACCAAATCATGAAGTATTATAATTGTGGAAGAAAATCAAGTAAATGGTATAGGCAAATCTTTTACCACTTATTGGAAATATGTGTTCATAATGCTTTTGTACTTGAGTTTTGGTGACTGACCATTGTGCACGCAGTCATCAAAGTTTTTGTGAGGAACTTATTGAACAATTAGTTGGAAATACGAGATCTAAAAATAGTGGAAAACCTATTAATTCAAATAAACACATAACATGACAACATACAGATGTTGGAGTTCATAAACCTTTAATGAACGATAACCCAAGAGATTGCAAAAATTGTTCTGAAACAATTTAAAAACCTACTTAAGTTGGTCAGCCCTAGCCCAGTTCAAAAGGTATTTGTAGATCACATGCTTTTTGCTTATTTTGGAATGTCCATTTATGCCTTGAGTCTCCAATTGTTGGAACATAGGGCATTCATAGTTTTATTTCAAAAATTTTATATACATATTCAGTTGTGTTGACTAAACTTTATGAAAAACTCAGTTATTTACTGCAAACAACTATCGCAATATTGTTGACAATCCTATATTAATGAATAGCAACCCTCTCACTGAGTCCTCTTCTTTACGCCTTCTTGGATTACCGTTTACTACAGACTTTTCATGGAAACCATATATAAAATTGATTGCTAAAGTAGCATCGTACTCGCAATTTTCTTACTCTTGATTCCATTCTCTATCTCTACAAATCTCTTATTAATTCCTGTATACTGCTGTCATATTTATTCCTGTATACTTCTGTCATATTTATTCCTGTATACTGCTGTCATATTTAAGCTGTATACTGCTGTCATATTTAAGCTGTTTTCTGCTGTCATATTTAAGCTGTATACTGCTGTCATATTTAAGCTGTATACTGCTGTCATATTTAAGCTGTATACTGCTGTCATATTTAAGCTGTATACTGCTGTCATATTTAAGCTGCTTCCTCTAATGTTGCTCTTTCTCTTCTAGGCAAGGTCTAAAAACGCATTGTAAATGTAGTTGGACCTGCTTAATCCTCTAAGTTTGAGCCCCTTCCCCATCTTTGTAAAGTTGCATCTCTTTCTCTTTTCTACAAATACTATATGGTCGCTGCTCAAAGGAGTTATTATCTCTAGTTCCATCAACTTAAACTCATTCTCACTTGTCTTGTGATTGAGTAAAATCTTATTCTTTTACTGTCCCTGCTTGCTCTAAAATTTTTTATTCCTCTAGTTTTTTGCCCAGCACTTCAACCCTTTGGAACTCTCTCCCATCTTCATGTTTTCCCGACTCATATAACCTTCAACTTTTTAAGTTTTCTGTCAACTGATTCCTTGCTCTATAACTCTAAGGCATAAATTATAAAAATATAATTTATGCCTTGCCCTGCTGAAACTCTTTGGTCAATTTAATTAATGTCAATTTTTTTTGTCATTTCAGACAATGTATGCACATGTGATTGTGCCTATCCTTACTTTTTTTTTGATAAAAAGTTAACTTTCAATGTTGTTTTAATAATGATATTATTTTTGATATTCCAGTAGTTGAGTTTTCAATGCTATTTATTGCTATTCTAGACTCTAGTTGTTTATTTTTATTTCTTATTATAGTCGTAGCATTTTTGCTGCTCTTAAAAATTTTGTATTTAATCAAGATAAAAAAATTTTAATGGTATTTTTAATTTACCGAAAACAATATTAAATTAAAAAGCAACATATAACAAGTTTAGTAAAGAAATTAATAAATGTATAGACAACATGTTTTAATGATTGCTAAACATGTTGTAACGATTGCTAAACATGTTGTAATAATTGCTAAACATATTGTAATGATTATTTAAAATGATGCAACAATATTAATACAAAATCTCATAACCCTTTGCACAGCAATATTTCTAGGAGGGTGTAATGTAGCTCTGTTTTTCTTAATGAGGGTGTTTAAAGTAATTATTAAAGTTAACTAATTTTAGTATATAACTGTGAATTGAATTAAACCTAAACTTTTTTATTTTCCAATTTTAATTCTTTACTCATCTGTTGTAAAAACTTGTTTTTACAGCAGAAGACTAAAGCAAATTTAGTCTTCTGTTGTAAAATTTACTAAATTAATTTATTTAATTTGAAACATACCATTCCACATTCCCTTTGTAATTCCTTTTATTTCCTGAAGTTGCACAGCATGTAATGTTGCTTACCTCTGCAAATCTACAAATGAGAAAAGTCAAAATGTTTTTTGTATAAACAATTAAAAAAAAAAGTTGCAGGAAAATAAAACCTTTTATAAAGTTCTAAATCTTTTCCGCTCGGCTCCTTAATATTTATTCCATAAACGTTAACGGAGACAGACCACGAATCCTAAAATATTTTAAGTAAACAAAATAATTATTTATAGTTTCAAAGTGTTTTTTTAGTTTGTTCAATAAAACATACATGAATGATACAAATCGTTAATTATTTCATTAAAAATTATTAAAAAGAATAAATTATTTTCAAACAAACTAGCCACAGAACCCCTTTTAACTTTAACAACATAAATCAGCAAGTTATACTTCTATTATTTTGACAACATAAAAAACAAATTTTTAGTGAAAATTATAGTTTAAAAAAATCCTTATTAACACTTTATACTTAACAATTTATACTTTTTTTTATTAAAACTTATTGCAAAAAAGTAGGATAGTCCATTGTATTAAAATAATACGAGTTTTGAGATCTACTTGATGTCAGTGACGGATCCAGGAGGAAGGGGTAAGATTGGGGTGGGGGGGATGTTAGTATGCATCCCCCCCCCCCCTTCCCAGAATCTAAAAGTCCTAAAATATCATAGAAATGGAGGATTTATTTTTATATTTTTATTTTAGGAGACTCGAATGTGTAATTACACATTCGAATGGCGTAATTACACATTCTCCATTGTTAAATTCCAGTTTTATATTTGCATGATTATACTTAATAGTGGAAATTTTATTATGAAAATGAACACTCTAAAGGGCATTTTTTTGTGTGTGTAACAGAGTATATAAAATATATTTACTTAATAATAATTTCTAAGCATTTGATTTTAGTAATTTCAGCTCAATTCTTAATATAAATTTATTTATTTATGTTAATATAAATTTGATTCACAATTTTATACAACATTATACTTTTTTTTTCAGTTCAATTCGTACAAATTTGATTTGGTTCATAAACTAAATAATACTAATGTAATGTGCGGGAAATCTTTTCAAGAAAAATTTAAAATTATAAAAGCAAATAGAAAAAATTAAAAGTTTAGTAAAAACATTTACTTTAAATATTTCTTTAATTTTCTAACAAATCTATTTAGATTTGTTAGAAATGGCAAAAAAAAAATTACCTCTGCTATAGTAATATTAAAAATAATATTACTATAGCAGAGATAATATTGCTACAGCAGAGATAATATTGCTATAGCAGAGATAATATTGCAAAATAGTGCATAACATTAAAATTTTAAAAAAGGTTGTTGTTATGTTTACAACAATACATAAATTATACATACATACAAAGAAATTTTATTTTTATGGTACTAAATTTGAAGTCAATTTCAATAAATTCACAGATTGTTTATATTTGGGAAGACTTTGAAAAACTTGCGTCTTAATTTATATAATAGGTTTTAGGGTCCGCAGAAGAATAATGATACTTTTTGAGTCAATACTTTAACACATTTTTTTTTGAGATGGTTTATAATGTTTAACAATGTCTATTGGGTGGACACGAAAAAATCCAGTCAACTTTAAATTAAGATTTCTCCAAAACTACAAATGCTTTTTATTTAATTTTTTTTTTAATTAAACCTTACTTCCTTATCTTAAATTGTGTTGATAAATTTTTGTTTACAAATTAATGACTTGCAAAATGTTTTGGAAACAAATTGAGGTGCATAAAAAAGTTGCGAATTTTTTTTGCAAAAATCCATCGACTTCCTATCGCTTGATTGCTAAACGCACAAATGTCCCAAAAACTACAGTCATAGATATTATAAACAAGTTCAAGACTACTCAAAGCTTCGAAAGAAAACTTGGAAGTGGAAGAAAAAAAAATTCCATAAATCTAAAAAGGTAAAGTCGATTTTATGTTCAATAGCAAGAAATCCAAACCACAGCGAGATCTAGCAAGAAAATTCTAGACTTCTCGTTCTTATATCAAAAAAGTACTTAAAAATGCTGGAATTAAAGCATTTCATAAAAAAATACACCTAAGAGAAGCTTAAATTGTAAAATTAAAGGAATTTGATGCCCAAAAAAGTTGGTTAAAATAATGGCGGATAAAAATAAGTGCATAATTGAAGACAACGAAACATATTGCAAGGTGGATTTTTCACAACTTCCGGGTCAACAGTTTTACTATGAAAACAAAGATAAACCTGTCAATGATCAATTTAAATATATTCGACAAGAAAAAATTGCATCCAAGTTCCTTGTGTGGCAAGCAAATTTTAGCTGTGGTATGCAGTCCTCTTGTTTTGTCACTAAAAAGACCATGACTGCCAATCTCTACATCAAAGAGTGCCTCCAAAAAAGACTTTTGCCTTTTATAAAAAAACACAAATATCGATGTCTTTTTTGGCCCGATCTTGCTGCCTCTCACTATTCTAAAAAAGTTCTACAGTGGTGCAAAGATAATAATATGAAAATTGTTCCTAAAGATGCGAATCTTTTAAATTGTCCTGTAGAGCACAAGATTGAAGATTTTTGGGCAATAGTTAAAGGAGTTCTTCATAAGACAGGTGGAGTAACAAATAATAAAAAGGACTTCCAAAAAAAGTGGATTAATGCCACCAATATGGTGAAAAAAGAAAAAATCTGTGAAATGATGGCATCAACCCGCTATAAAGTTCGATTTCTTGCCAAGCAACCCATCAAGCCCCTTCAAATTCAGTTGAAACTAATTTATGTAAACACATTTATTAATAAAAAAATTGAAATAAAAAGCATTTATAGTTTTAGAAAAATCTCAATTTAAAGTTGACCGGATTTTTCCATGTCCACCCGATAGAAGTTATTACTGAGAATATTTATTTTTAGAAGAAATACTTATAAATAACTCAATTTGCTATATAACTACTAGAACATACTTAACAAGCTCTTGCAGGAAAACTTTTAAAAATTGAAAATTTAAGAATCTAAATGAGTCAGAATGGATTCTGCTTTTTCAAAGTTAGAAAAGCCTGCATGGCTGCCATCAACATACTGCTTATAGGTTGTAGGTGCAACATTGTTGGTTAATGATTATTGAATAGCATCAAATATGCTGTATATAAGCTTCCAAAATTCAATATGCACAACTTAATTGAACTAGAAATATAAAACTAGAGATATACTTACTTACTATAATTAAACTTACTATACTTTGACAAAATCTCTAGCTTAATTTACTTAAGCAAGTTCAAACACTTTAATTCAACTTCAAATTACTATCATTAAAGATAAACGTTTACTATTTTTAGTCTGCAGGCATCATATCTTTGAAATTATTTTGGCTGCAGTATTTGACCATTACTTTCAGTCTTCAGGACTACTGGTTGGAATATTTTGACGGCTCAAGTAACATTGGAAACCTATTACACTATCCAATACAGTACAATTGAGGCTTCTGAAATAAAAGTCAAACCTGAACTTACAGTTGCTGAATGTGTAAAGCTAAACCAGAAGAAGAAAAATATGACTAAATTCCTTAGGAACCAACTCACCCAAAAAATTAAATACCAAAAAGATTACCTGAAGCTCATCAGATTGACACTAATCACACTGGGCAAAAATAATGATGTAATTTATTTCAGCCCTTCAGGTGGCAATCACCATGCCAGGTGAATGGAAAAAGGAATACACTGTCTTAAAATCTATTTGTTCCGTAGACAATTTAAACTTACAGCATATAAACTACAGTGTCTTTGTAGCATCTTTTCATTATTACTATTTATGCAAAAGTCTGGCTTAAACAGCTTTGTTGCTGCATACAATGACCTTTGTCTACTCTAAACTCTTGAGTTTTATCTCGCTGTTAACAATAGGTAGCAGACATTTAAGAAAATGAGAGGACATATATTGAGTTTTATCTCGCTAACTCTTGAGTTTTATCTTGCTAACTCTTGAGTTTTATCTCGCTAACTCTTGAGTTTTATCTCGCTAACTTTTGAGTTTTATCTCGCTGTTAGAAAATGAGAGGACATATATGGTGTTTGGGCAAAAATTCAATTAGACTTGCATTATTTTCTGACTTTGTGCCAAATAGTAAGAAAAAGACTATGATGAAAGTAAGCTCATGACCATTCCATTTAAAAAAATTTAAAGCAGAATAGAAAACTATCATTCATTATTCTTGTGAAAAATTTGATAACATTATATTAGCACATTATATAGCACACATAAATATATTGTAACATTTATATTCAATCAAACTTTAGTGATAAGAAAGTATACTGTTTTATCATTTTTTTTACAAGTGAATATTTTGAGCAGTCACTAAAACACATTATTTAAGCTTATAATTTTGAACTTATCTAGACCATAAACCACATCAAATTAGAAGGCATATATATATATATATATATATATATATATATATATATATATATATATATATATATATATATATATATATATATATATATATATATATATATATATATATATATATATATATATATATATATATATATATATATATATATATATATGTATATATATATATATATATATATATATATATATATATATATATAAATATATATATATAAATATATATATATATATATATATAAATATATATATATATATATAAATTAATATATATATATATATATATATATATATATATATATATATATATATATATATATATATATATATATATATATATATATATATATATATATATATATAAAGTAAATTAAATAGAAAAATACAACTTTATAAAGGAACTAAAAGTTTCATGCCTATCGGCAATCTTTAGCCATATATATTATAATAATATATATGATAATATATATGGCTGAAGATTGCCGATAGGCATGAAACTTTTAGTTCCATTATAAAGTTGTATTTTTCTATTTAATTATACTTTATATATATATATTGATCTATTTTGTAAAAATTATTTTTACATTATATTGTTCACTCTCAAGTAAACAAGAGGATTTGTATCTCAACTAAATACAATAATAAACAACAATATATATATATATATATATATATATATATATATATATATATATATATATATATATATATACATATATATATATATATATATATATATATATATATATATATATATATATATATATATATATTTATATATATATATATATATATATATATTTATATATATATATATATATATATATATATATATATATATATATATATATATACATATATATAAATCTATATATATATATAACAAAAAAAGTTTAACCCCTAAATCAGTTATCAACGGATCCCTTGGAACAAGCTTTAAAGGAAATTGAACAGCTTTGTCTTCGTCTGAACTTGAATCTTCTTCACTAGTCTCATTTGGTGATAGTGGTTGACCCCCAATAACATTGCGATGACTAACTTGTTGTGACCTTAGAAAATCATCTATTTTTAAGTTTTTAAAAACTATTTTCTTTTTAATATAAAAAGTATAAATATAAAAAAACACTAAAAAATCTTTTAATTACAGCAACTATATAATTTGTCCAATAATAATACATATCATAAAATATGTAATTATATTATACATTGTTATACGACATATAATATAATTAGTATATAATTATTATATAATTAGCATAATAATTAATTTTGTATATAATTATTATATAATTAGCATAATAATTAATTCCAATTTTGAATACTCTTACTCATTTTGAGTTTTGCCGCGTGCTCTCACAACAAAAGGACTTGGATCAGTACAATTAGGAGGCATGAAATCTCTATAAAAGTAAAAAATAAAAAAGTTTTTTACTATAATGTTATTATAAAGTGACAAAATAGTAAAAAAAAAAAAAACAAATAAAAAAGAGGTAAATTTAATTTAAATTTAATTTTAAGTTTAATATTCAATTAAATTTTAAAATTTAAAACGGGCTTGACAACTCTTTTAACAGATGGACTAATCTGTTTGAACTTGTTTAAGAACAAAGAACAGTAAACACATTTTTAAAATTTAAAGATTCAGAGGGTAAAAAGAAGAGAAATGCTAAAAAAACTTTGAAGGGTTTAAATTTTCGCTAAAATTTTTTTTGGAAAATAAAATGAGCAAAAAATATACAACATTTTGTAACACTTTTTCTTTGTCGTTTTGTAATGTATGAAAACAACTTTCAATATTGGTCTCCTAAAAACTGTTTTCATTTTATAAGTGTTCTTTGTCTTTCTTATTTTATTATTTATGATCTTTTGCAAATTGTATTTTTTTCTAGATTAGATTATTAATTTTAGTTTATATCTTTTTTCTTTTTTTTTTTCTTTTTCTTTTAATTATCTTCGCTTCCAACAAGGTTGCAAGCAACCACTAACTAGTGTTGGAAGTTACTGGAAGAGAAAAGATGAAGATTGTAGAGCAAGATAACGATTGACAGACGACTTAAAATATTGAAAATTATATGAATCACGAAAGCAAGATAAAGGAAGCGAATTCCAAAGAACTGATGTTCGAGGAAAAAAACTAGACAAATAAGAGTTTTTGGAGCACTTAGGAACAGTAACAGAAAAAGGATGAGACTTAGTTGAATGACGAGTAACACGAGAATGAATTTTAGTAGATGGCACAAGAGACGCTAGCTCTTTAGAGCAGTGCCCATTATAGTATTTGTAGAAAAGAGAAAGAGAAGCAACATTACGACGATGTGACAGAGGTTGAAGGTTGACTGCAAGAGCAGGTCCAACTAAGTTTACAATGCGTTTTTGCACCTTGTCTAAAAGAGAAAGGGCATCTCCTACCCTTTGGGCATTGAAGTTCCGCCCCAGATATGGCAACAGTATTCCATACAAGGCCGGATTTGAGATTTATAGAGATAGAGAATAGAATCCAGAGTAAGAAAGTGACGAGCTCGATAAAGAAAAGCAACTTTAGCAGATGCTAATTTTGCAACGGATTTGATATAAGGTTTCCAAAAAAGATCAGAAGTAAGAGTTAATCCTAGAAGATGAAGGGTAGGAGACTCATCGAGTACATTACCGTTCATAAATATAGGAAGGTCTAAATTATTGCGATAACAATTGGCCGAAAAAAAATTGAGTTTTATCTGAATTAAAGTTCACCAGCCACTGCGAGCCCCATGCTGTAGCAGAAGTGAGATCCTTTTCGAGCTCAGATGCCCCCTGCAAGGAATCAGAGGGAGTTGGCTTCTTATCATGACAAGAATAAATGGTAGTATCATCAGCTAACAATGCCACCTTAGATGTGAGAATATCTGGAAGATCGTTAATGTAAATTAAAAAGAGTATAGGGCCAAGGATTGAACCTTGGGGAACCCCTGAGGTTACAGAATAAGAAGATGAGTGCTGTCCATCAAGGACAACTTTTATACTACGATTGGAAAGGAAGGATTCAATAATCTTAAAGATGTTTCCAGATACACCATAAGAAGAAAGCTTATGGAGGAGACCAGCATGCCAAACTTTATCAAACGCTTTAGAAATGTCAAGAGCAATGGCCTTAACCTCTCCACCTTTATCTAATGCGCGATAAAACCTATCGGTTATTACTGATAGCAAATCAGCCGTAGAACGAGAAGATTAAAATCCATACTGATGATCAGAAAGTAGGTTATGAGATTCGAGATGAGAGATTAAGTGTTTGTTAATTAAAGATTCAAAAACCTTGCTTATGATAGGAAGAAGGGACGGTAGTTAGATGAATGAGATTCATCTAGAGACTAATGGGAGGGTAGTTAGATGAGTCAGATCGCTCACCAGAATTTTTAAAAATAGGGATAACAGATGCTGCTTTCCAGCAGGCTGGAAAACAAGACTCTGATAAGCACTTGTTGAATAGTTTTGAAAAGATAGACGACAGCTCAGGAGAACACTTCTGCAAGACTATAACAGGTATGTTGTCCGGGCCGCAAGCTGTAGAAGAGTCTAAGCGGGAAATCACTTTAGATACAGAAGCTGAAGTGATACGAATGTCGAGCAATGGATCAACCTGTTTGATGGGTATATCAGGTAAAACGCAACTAGTGGCATCAAGAGATGATATTGATGAAAAGTTCTTGGCAAACGATTCAGCTTTGTCTTTAGGTGAGGTGACAAAGTCTGAACCGTACAAAAGAGGTGGAATTACAGACTTGCCCTTATTATTGATACTATTAAAGATTCTCCAGAAGTCACCAGAGCCTAATTTTTGTGATGAAATACGAGATTTCATGATCTGAGAATAGCGGGTTTTGGCGTTAGACAAAACCTTTTTACAATGGTTCCTAGCAGTAATAAAGAGACGTCTGTTTTCTGGAGAATTGTTTTGCTGATAGATATGGAAGTAATGGTTTCGATTGACAATTGCAGCAGCACAGTGTGAGGAAAACCATAGAGAAGAGTGAGGCTTGACCTGGAATCGTCAAGAGGGAATAAAGGATTTCATGCCAGCCTGAATCCATGAAGTTATGTAAGAAGCATATTTGTCAACAGGGAGACGAAAGATTTCTACCCAGGGGCCATCACGAAGAAAGTCACGAAAAGAGTCCCAGTCAGCTTTAAGGTAGTTGTAAGATGTACGATGATAGGGGGATTCTAATGGTAAAGAAGAATGAGAAAATAGTTTTAGAGAGACCAAACCATGATCAGACGCACCTAAGGGTGAGTGTGAAGAAACTGAACACTGACTAGGATCAGAAACAAGACATAAGTCGAGTAGAGAAGGTAAATGATTCGGGTTGTCTGGAAAGCGAGTTGGAAAGTTGACTATTTGAGTTAGGGATTGAGAAAGACAAAAGTTGTGGGCCTTAATGCCTGCAGAGTCACTGACACTAGAGCCAAGCCATTCAGTGTGATGAACATTAAAGTCACCGACAACAACAATATTGGCTGATGGATAAAGAATGAGGGCTTGGTTAATATAATCAGAAATATCATCAAGAAGAGTGCAGTCTTGGGATGAGGGAGAGCGATATAGAACAAAGAGAAAGGTGATAGAGTGAAGTGGTGCTAAACGAAAGCACATAAAAGAGTAGTCTGTGGATTCAAACCTAGTTTCCCGACAAATGGGTGAATTCTTACGAATGTAAATGCCCAGGCCAAGCATGTGACTATTGGAGTCTTTACGAATTAAAGGAAGATAACCATCAACACTAAGATCACAAGATGAGACAGCTGAACTCAAATTAGTCTCACAAAGAGCAAGCAGGTCTGGTGAACTTTGCAAGAGATAAGACTCAACAAAAGAAAAGTTACTTCAAAGACCACGAATATTGGTGAATGATAGGTTTAGCGAACTTGGTGATGACTGTGGTTTTTTGTGTTTTATAGTTTTTGTTACTTTATTCATTTTTAAATTTGTTAAAGAACTTGACTCGAAACATTGATAGTACTCAGTACACTGTTCTATAACTCAAGCAATTGCCTCTAAGTAACCCTAAGCCGTAACAAAGGGCTCCAATGTGGCCTTGGCAATGCACACCAAAAGTACAAACAGGGACACCATCCATGCGCAACATGGCACTGTTATTACTCTGATATTTTTCAGCTGTTGATGGAATCAGCCTCTCTGAGAGCTACCACAGAGTTCGAGAAACCTGACTACCAGCCGGCCTCAGAACCATAAAACTGAGTTTTAGAGCTGTACCCTCATTTGGAGATAATAGAATGAGTTGCCTAGTCATAAAAACAGAGACACAAGCAAAACCCATGAATCGAGTCAAGAAGATCCAGCGATCAACATCCTAAACTGGAAACAATGTATTAAAAATACATTTGCGCCAGCCTAATAGATGACGAAGGGGTGCGAGGCTGGTCAACAGATAGAATCTGTTTACCCCTTAAGTCTTTGCCTAGGAGGCCTTCTACAAGACAGCAGCCGGATGCATGTAACATCTGCCCAAGATGAATATTTTTATCAAGACACCATCTCTAGCCTTTACTTAACCAAGAGCCCCAAGGCAGGGGGTGTTTTATGTCGGAGTTTGCATTTCCTAGCCTTTGCCTAAAAAGGCTATATATATATATATATATATATATATATATATATATATATATATATATTATATATATATATATATATATATATTATATATATATATATATATATATATATATAAAGCTATATAAAAAATATAAAAATATATATAAAAATATATATAAATATAAAAAGCTATACATATATATATAAAAGGCTATATAAAATATATATATATTTATATAAATATATAAGAAAAAATACATACTTGGTTGACGTAGGCATTGTTTTTGCATACAAATGATCTAATTCTGTTAATTCAGATGGCCGATAATATTCTGCAAACAAATCCAAAATTTCCTCATCTTCACAAAAAATGTTCTCATCATTTTCAATAATATAACTTTTGGCCACTGTATAAAACATAAAAAAAAATAATAATAATAATAAAATAATAATAATTAATAAAAAAAAAGGTAATCTCTTATTGAACAGGTTCAACAAAAGATTTTCAGGTTCTGGTGAATAATTCAAGACAAAAATAGAAAATTTTTTATCTATTTAAAAAAGTAGTAACCTGGTTAAGTAGTAGTAACCTGGTTAAGTAATGGTAACCTGGTAAAATAGCCTGCTATAAGCAGTATTTGTTTAATAGAATTAATGTGGAATAGAACTTTTACTTTTGAGAATACAACTTAGTAAAGCATTATTTTAAAGTAAAAACCTAGTAAATAGTATAAATATCTTATCTTTATAAAATTTAATTAAAAATAGTCTAGTAAAATATCTTCTTTTTTGTATATGGTATGTAGTAAAAATCAAGTAAAAAAAATATCTGGTATGTATTGGTAAGCTTTTTTTGACTGTTACTGTTAATAGTCAAGGCAGTCAAGTTCTAGATCTGTTCCTTAAATTGTTTATTGCAAAATTCTGTTAACAAAAAAAAAAAAAAAAAAATTTTTTTTTTTAATTATTTTCATAACAATTCATTTCCCCAAGGCAGAGAAGCCCACTACAGACTAGGAGGCTACTTTATTGTGTTTATAACCCTCTCTTAAGTCTGAAACACAAACCTTGACAAACAAGGTCGCTGTGTGGAGAAACAAACTGAGCGCGGTACTACCAGAGACATGGATCCAACTCGGAACCTCTTGCTTATTTATTTTATTTATTTATTTGAGTTTTCATGCTATATTTTTCTATACAATGTTCTTATATCCGAAGATATTGTTGGCTTAGCATAGGAACAGCCACAAATAGTCATTAAGACTAATCTAAAGTAGCGTCCGTTATTGACCAACATTTTTGCGTACCGAAGTACTACTCATGCGCTGAGTTGGCGGTGGCAGGATTTGAACTCGTATTGTTCAACAGTCCGGGTTTTAACTTTTCCTTTAACACTCTAACGAAGCGAGTGCTTTTTAAATACTCAATTTTCTTTTTCTTTGTTGTTTTTTTTTTTGGGGTGAAAGATGCTTTAAAAACAATATAAAATATTGTTAAAATAAATACCATATAAAATTATTTTAAAGTATATTTAGTGCGATATTCTAAAGAGGACTGTACAAACAGTGATGGGAACTATACCATTTATCTAAATTTAAATTTCTTAAAAAAAAAGTTCTTACCTTCATCCCAAGCAAAAGGCAAAGAATTAACAACTTCATCTTGCCACCATTTTGTATAGCTATATAAAATTTTATTGCAAAAAAAAAATAATAATAATAACAAACTAGTTTTTTTTCATAAATTGTTACCAACAATTTATGAAAAAAAAACTTATTAATATAAAAAATATTATATGTATCAACAATATAAAAACAAACAAAAGCGTATCCAATATTACCTATAAATAAAATATCTTTAAAAAAAATTAAAAGTATTATCTATGTTTATATTTTTGGCTAAATATTTATTCTGCTACTAATTCCAAGGAGCTGTTTTAAGTTCTCTGAACAGCTGTTCTCAGCTGTTTAAAGAAATTGTCTTGCTAAGAATGTGAATTTTAAAAACTATTTTGTAAATAAAAAACTAAAAAAATTATTGTGAAATAATAAAACTAAAAAAAACAAAAAAAATATTGTGAAATAATAAAACTAAAAAAAAATTGGAAATAGTAAATAAGATAGCATGATTATTAAAATAATTATAAAACCTTGGACGAACAGTGAAAATATCAAGGTTTGTAGTGCTGTTATGATGCAAGTAATAATCAGTAGCCATGTCCCATATGTTTGGAAGCTTTTCATTGGGTGTATATGTCCCAAGAAAAAGATTAATTGCTTGCTGTTTGTCTGTATCTATATAAAATATAATAATATAGTTTAAAAATAAAATAAGTTTTAAATTCTTTCATACATATAAATCTTATAAACATATACAGTGAAATGAAAATACAGTGAACTATTGATTGCATTATTGCAGCTAATGCCATAGCTAATATACAAAAAATGATTATTGAAAATAAGATTATTACATATCAAAGAGCAAATAAAAAATATATATATTATGCAAATATATATTTTTTCTTAATTTGTTGTTTTACTTCTCTCAACTCTGAAATATGAACCACTAGACAAAAACCCTCTGAACAAAAAAAACAAGTTAATCCCAGTACTTCCAGAAATGTGGAGGATTAAAACTTTGCTTACAAAGCAAATGCTTAAACAATACAGCACAACTACATATCTAAAGAGCAAATACCTAGACCAAAACCTAACTACCTAGACTAAAACCTAAATACCTAGACCAAAACCAAATTGAATTTGTATTTATTGTTAAAATACATAAATACAATAAAATCAAACTTTAGTGAACATATACCATAAAGCAAAAATTAAAAACTTTAAATAACTAAAAATGTTTTAATATTGATAAAGAAGCTAAGATTGATCCAGAAACAGTTGTAATTTGAGGTACAACATTCTTGTACATACTAGTGATTAAAAAAAAAAAAAATTGTGGATTGACATTTTAAAAAACTCTCTGTATCTCTCTTTCTTTCACACAAACAAATATATAAATATATATATATATATATATATACATATATATATATATATATATATATATATATATATATATATATATATATATATATATATATATATATATATATATGTACATATATACATATATGTATATATATATATATGTACATATATATGTATATGTATGTATATATATATATATATATATATATATATATTTTTTTTTTTTAATTTTAATTCACCTCCTCAAGGCCGAGACGGCCACTACAGACAAGGAGGCTACTTATTTGTGGCTATAACCCTCTCTCAACTCTATTACTCCGAAACACGAACCTTGACGAACAAGGCCGCTGCGCGGAGAAACGAGTTGAGCGCGGTACTACCAGGGACGTGGTGGGAATCGAACTCGGAACCACTCGTTTATGAAGCGAGCGCTCTACCACTACACCACTACCGCATATATATATATATATATATATATATATATATATATATATATATATATATATATATATATACATATATATATATATATATATATATATATATATTTTTGCCGACCGCAAACACGTTTAGGTCGGCATTGCCGAATGCCGACCCTAATTTTAAGGGTTGTATATATATATATATATATATGTATATATATTTATATATATATATATATATATATATATATATACACACACACACACACACACACACAAACATATATACACACACACACACACACATATATATATTATATATATAAATATATATATATATATATATATATATATATATATATATATATATATATATATATATATATATATATATATATATATATATATATATATATATATATATATATATATATATATATATATACACACACACATATATGCATACATATTTATCCACACTATGAACACTTTTCAGTAGCGTTAATAAAATTTTGCAACAAAAATTTAGCAATAAAATTTTTGCAAATTTTTGTTGCATAATTTTCAGTTATTTTCTTTAAAAAATCATAAAGCTACTCTTGCTCATTTAAATTCAGACACCATGCTTTCATTCATACCACGCTTCCAAAAAAAATCCTATTTTTTTAAACAACCAATATTGTTTTTACTGTTTCATTATAATTAGTTGTCATAACTGTTTCACAGTAATTGTCATTATTGTTCATTATAAAGATATCAATTTAATTTTTTTCATACTTGTTATGAAGTTTTCACAGTAGTTATAAATATTTATGTAAAATCAAAACAGAAAATTACCTGTAAAAGCATTACTGTAGTATCTTGATACAGTTTGCATAATGTCTCTTGAATATGAGGTCCAAGCAGCAATTTTTCGATAAGTACGTATCCTAAATTTATGATTTCATTAATTTTGATATGTAGTTTTGTAATTACAAAATTATTTTCTATATTAATATAAAAATGTTTAAAATTTATCTAAAAATTTTAAACAATTTTAATTAAAATATAACATACCTATGTACCATTTGCGAACCGCCATATTGAAGAGCAAGTGTGTCACCATGAGCTTCAAAAAGTTCCTCAAAAATTCTAAAATGATAATTTTAACTCAATATTTATAAACTTGAAAAAAAAAATGAAGAAAAAAATAAAAAACAAAAAAATAAGTAATAAAAGAAAAAAAAACTTAAACATATAATAGTTTGTTATAAATTTGCAATAATATTAAATGTTGGCTAAAGTTTTTTAAAGAAGTAACTTATCTTAAGTAAATATCAAGTAACTATCTATCTCAAGTAACTATCAAGTAACTATCTATCTTAAGTAACTATCAAGTAACTATCTATCTTAAGTAACTATCAGGACAACTCAAACAATTTAAAAAGTGAAAACTTTACTTTATTATCAACAACATCAAAAAAATGTTTTATTAAAATTTTAAAAAAAAAATTCAGTTATAATTACTGAACTACAGTTGTAATTATTTAAATATAAATTTATAAGTTATAATAATACAAACTTTCACAGAAATTTCAAAAAATAAAACTAAACAAAATTTTTATAGAACTTGAATATAAAAAACAGATCAAACTAATAACTTTATAAAAATTATTCTTAATTATGCATAATTAAATTTTCTGAGCAAAAAATGTTTTCAAATTTTAAATAATTAACAAATATTTGAGAATTATATTATTTATTAATCTTTTTGTATCTAAACTCAGAACCAACAACCAATGATCATTCATCATAACCACCATGTATCTAATACATCTTTTTTTTTAAAAAACAATAAAAAAATGATACAGTAGTGAGAGTGAAGAAATATTTCTGTTTAATAGTTTAAAACCACCTGTTTGAAAAAAATATTATTTCACAACTTCTAAACTGCAATATTAATTTTTAAACAGTTTAAATAATATTTTTCTAATTACCTCACTGCATCTGAGTCAAATTGTAAGATTGGGCTTTCAACAACCCCTAATGCATATAACTATAAAATAATAATTGGAAAAAATATTTATATGCATTCATTATTTATAGATTACATAAAATATAGATTACATAAAAAAATTATTATGAAAATATATACTATGTATTTATACTAAATATAATAAAATATACTCAAAAAGTTCAAAAAATAAAAGAACGATAATATATTTGATTTTTATTTACAATTTATTATATATATTTTGATTACAATTTAAATAATTTATAATAATTTTTATAATAATTATAATTTTGCAAAGCACTTAAAAATTAAAAAACAATACCTGGAATCCTAACGCACATTTACCAACCATGAACTGTGCAGTATTTGTTCTATCAAGACAATCTACACAGTTTACACGTAAAATACCTGTCTATATAAATAAAAAATTCAGAACAAATCCATAAATCAATCATCTCCAAACAAAAAGTCAATTACACATTTTTTTAAATTTTTTATTTTTTTTTTCTACCAACTTCAACTTTACTAATTATATTATCAATAACTTTTTTTTCACATATAATTTTTAATCTTAATTTATTTCTGCTTATTTATTTTTGTTTGAAGTTTTGACTGTTGTCATCAATCAGTTACTATGATACTAGAAATATTTTATAAGTTTTGTTTTTCTTTTATCTTCTACAATACAAGATAGTTTTTCTTTAAAATTTTCTTTAAAATTTTAAATATTTTAAAGAAACTTCAACTTCTATACACTTTTTCTATCACTCTATGCTTTCTTCATTTACATTTTTTTTTTTTTCACTACTTTTTGTATTACTCTATTCTTTCTTCATTTACCTTTTTTTTTTCCACCACTTTTCTATCACTCTATTCTTCCTTCATTTACCTGTTTTTTTTCACCACTTTTTCTATCACTCTAATCTTTCTTCATTTACCTTTCTTTTTTTTTTCACCACTTTTTCTATCACTCTATTCTTTCTTCATTTACCTTTTTTTTTTCACCACTTTTTCTATTACTCTATTCTTTCTTCATTTACCATTTACATCCAAACTACTCATTTACACATGTGCAACCAATCATGTGGAACATGTGGTACCATTCTCTCTAAAGTGACACATTTGGGTGGCTTTTAAAAAAACATTTTTGAAAAACATCTGCTTGCACCCCCTTATGTGTTCTATATAATAAACATTTGATTTAAAAAAAAAAATTTTAAAATTTATCAAAATTTTTAAAATAACAATCAATTTATATGAAATAAAAAAATAACAATCAATTTATATGAAATAAAAAATATCAAAAATAACAATCAATTTATATGAAATAAAAAATATCATTAACAAAAATTCCAGTAAAAATGCATTTTTTAAAATTTTTTTTAAAAAAATAAAAAATGAAAAAAATGCATGACTAATATTTTCAAAATTCTTATATAATGATGTTTTATTTCAGATCCAATATGATACATATAGAAAAACATTTTTTTCATAAGATTAAGGGACCCATTAAATGTTTAAAGGTCTTGGGAGACCCCAAAAAATATTTTTTATTCCAAAACGTTTTTATCCAAGTATTATTTTATTATATAGATCATGTACCCACTTAGGATACAAGAAGATTTTTTTAAAAAATTTTGTTTTAAGAGCCACTCTAACATGTTTTTATACTGATCTTTATTATAAACTAATAAACATATTTTCTTAGTATATTTATTTATATTCATTAAATAACGTTTTAATAACAGCAAATTATTAAATACTTGTCGTAATCCAGGATGTTCATCAGTATATCCAAATCCTTTCATTCCTAAAAAACTGTCATAAAAAAATTAGTCTTGTTTTTACTATATTATGCATTATACTGACAAAACTTAACAAACCTGGGATGCTTTCGAAGATCATTGCAGTAAATTTGTGGCCCGCTGTGAAAAAAACCAGTTTCTTTCATAACCTAAGAGTAGTATGCAATATTTATATTAAAAAAACGATGGTGATAATGATGATGCAAGGCCTTCTAAAGTAGAAGGTCCGCTCATGGAATGAAAAAACTCTTGTGAATTTAGTAGTCCAATGTTAAATTTTTCGATTATGTATTTGTTTCTAAATATCTCAAGTTGTAAATATTAAAGATTTAGTTTTCATATTTTCAATGCAGTTTATTATGAGTTTAGTACATTTTAATCAATTTTATTAAAGTGTGAAATAGTTAGTGTTTTTAAACTTTTAACCGATCCAAATATGAAAAAATTATGGATTCGTCAAGTTCCTCAAGAAAATTTAGTTCCTTCAAATAAAACTGCTGTGTGAAAAATTATCTCATTCATATATTTATAGTTTGTATTGATACAATGAAACAAGATGGTGGTTCTGTAATATGTGTTGAGAAAAAAAGACCAAAATTAATACAAGATTCTTACCCATCATTATTTCCTAACATTTCTTTTTATTTATCAATAAAATTTTTATTTACAATAACCTACTTGTTGAATTGTTTACTTGTAATTTAAAGATAGACAGCAGTTTGGTGGCTTAGGTACTTAACGATGAATGTAAACTTTCTTATTTGACTCAATTGTCCACAATGTTAACACAAATTTTTCCTGGTAATAAAAATAATATGTCCAGTTCAGATTATGTTTTAATAATTCAATGTAATTTAAATAATCTATGTGAACAAGTTAAAGACAGTAATAAATATTCTACAGTTGTTCATAAATGTTTAGTATTTTTATGTGAAAAAATGAAATATTATTGATTTATTTACCTCGATATAGTCCTGATACTCTGATTTTGTAGTGATGATTTTGTAGTGATGATTTTGTAGTGATGATTTTGTAGTGATGATTTTGTAGTGATGATTTTGTAGTGGTGATTTTGTAGTGGTGATTTTGTAGTGATGATTTTGTAGTGGTGATTTTGTAGTGGTGATTTTGTAGTGATGATTTTGTAGTGGTGATTTTGTAGTGATGATTTTGTAGTGATGATTTTGTAGTGGTGATTTTGTAGTGGTGATTTTGTAGTGATGATTTTGTAGTGGTGATTTTGTAGTGGTGATTTTGTAGTGATGATTTTGTAGTGGTGATTTTGTAGTGGTGATTTTGTAGTGGTGATTTTGTAGTGATGATTTTGTAGTGGTGATTTTGTAGTGGTGATTTTGTAGTGATGATTTTGTAGTGGTGATTTTGTAGTGATGATTTTGTAGTGGTGATTTTGTAGTGGTGATTTTGTAGTGATGATTTTGTAGTGGTGATTTTGTAGTGATGATTTTGTAGTGGTGATTTTGTAGTGATGATTTTGTAGTGGTGATTTTGTAGTGGTGATTTTGTAGTGATGATTTTGTAGTGGTGATTTTGTAGTGATGATTTTGTAGTGGTGATTTTGTAGTGGTGATTTTGTAGTGATGATTTTGTAGTGGTGATTTTGTAGTGATGATTTTGTAGTGGTGATTTTGTAGTGGTGATTTTGTAGTGATGATTTTGTAGTGGTGATTTTGTAGTGATGATTTTGTAGTGGTGATTTTGTAGTGGTGATTTTGTAGTGATGATTTTGTAGTGGTGATTTTGTAGTGATGATTTTGTAGTGGTGATTTTGTAGTGATGATTTTGTAGTGGTGATTTTGTAGTGGTGATTTTGTAGTGATGATTTTGTAGTGGTGATTTTGTAGTGATGATTTTGTAGTGGTGATTTTGTAGTGGTGATTTTGTAGTGATGATTTTGTAGTGGTGATTTTGTAGTGATGATTTTGTAGTGGTGATTTTGTAGTGGTGATTTTGTAGTGGTGATTTTGTAGTGATGATTTTGTAGTGGTGATTTTGTAGTGGTGATTTTGTAGTGATGATTTTGTAGTGGTGATTTTGTAGTGGTGATTTTGTAGTGGTGATTTTGTAGTGGTGATTTTGTAGTGATGATTTTGTAGTGGTGATTTTGTAGTGGTGATTTTGTAGTGGTGATTTTGTAGTGATGATTTTGTAGTTATGATTTTGTAGTGGTGATTTTGTAGTGATGATTTTGTAGTGGTGATTTTGTAGTGGTGATTTTGTAGTGGTGATTTTGTAGTGGTGATTTTGTAGTGATGATTTTGTAGTGATGATTTTGTAGTGATGATTTTGTAGTGATGATTTTGTAGTGGTGATTTTATTCAACATTCTTAAGATTCAACAAGAAAACTGTTTTTTTTTTATTTAATAGTGTACATCTATTGAAATGTATTCGGAATAACTGGCAGAGATAACTTCACAATGATCATTATTTCTTTATCCTGGCTTTACTGATAATTCTAATTTCCATCCGAAAACTTTTGATAAGAACCAAATCGTGCTTCCAAATAGTTTGTCAACACATAGAAAAAATGCAAATCATTTAGCATGTATTTAATCAGTTCAATAAAAGTTATCTAATGTGTTTTCAAGCAAAAATAGTTTGCTTAGTTAGGCATGTCTGCTTTTTTGTTATAAATTTTCCTATCCTTGAATTCAAAAAAAAAATTTTTTTTTTTTTTAAAAAATAAAAAAGTTATTGTTTAAGTCATTAATAAGATTATAATTATTATCTTGCTTACAAATTCCTTTACTAGGAGACATTTAATATTTTCCGAAGTTTTATAATTAAAGAAATAAACTCATGAATTCCTGTCGGAGTTGTTAGTCCTTGGCCTTGTCTTTGCCTTAAGGTTGAAAATTAAGGCCTTGGCCTTGAAACCGTTTCCTTGGTCTTGAGAATTTTAAAGCTAATTTAACATTTTGTCTTTCAATAGAGGTCAGGTTAAGAGCATTATTTGTCAAGTTTGAAAAATATTATCTTTTTCAAAGTTGTGCAACTGTCAAATTTGTTAGATACATTACATTTAGAATTATCAGTAAAGCCAGGATAAAGAAATAATGATCATTGTGAAGTTATCTCTGCCAGTTATTCCGAATACATTTCAATAGATGTACACTATTAAATAAAAAAAAACAGTTTTCTTGTTGAATCTTAAGAATGTTGAATAAAATCACCACTACAAAATCATCACTACAAAATCATCACTACAAAATCATCACTACAAAATCATCACTACAAAATCACCACTACAAAAACATGTATCAGTTCAAGAATCAGAAAAAAAAAATCAGTAGTTCTTTAAAACATTATTTCTACTAAACATGGCAGTATATTATTCTTAGTCTTTACTTCTGGATGAAATCGTGTCAATGCAATTGAATCTACAGACAATTCTGAAGATGTTTTTATTGATAATTGCAGCTAAAAACAGAATTCTGTTTTTAGTTGCAACCAAAAGTTTAAAAAAAGGTTTAAAAAATTAAAAAAAAAAATTAAGTTTTAATTTTTTCTTCTTTGATATCTTATAAATATGAATCGAAGTATTAGTTGATGTCAAAGTACAAACAAATCCTAATTTCTTTTCCAATTAAGAGTTTAGAGTTTCTTGAGATAAATGATGGTGTATGCAGTTGTGGTATTTCAATACTCTATATTGCATGACTTGCCATATGTACACTACCAAATACAATTATCGCAAAAAGTCTTTTAGATATAATTGTTCTTTAAGGTTAAAAAATAGTATAAAAAAGTTCCAAAAGTATTCAGGAAGCTGGCAACTTTCATAAATTGTTATTTAAGAATATTGCTAAAGTCACTTTAATAATAAAAAAATAAGAATTTATTAGTCTTAATGAGTTTTAATGATTAATAATTTAAAAAAAAAAAATTTTTTATTACTTAATCATTAATTTAATGTAAAAAAAACTAACTTGTAAAAAAAAAAGTTTTTTTCAAAATAAATGTAATTGTTATTATTATTATTTTTTTCATTCACTTTTTATTTGTAATCGGATACTTTAAATTAAACAAAATAAAAAAAATTTATCTTGCAAAAGTTTATAATAAGAATAAATTTTTTTAAACAAGACAAATATCAATGGACTACTAACGTGACGTCACATTCCACATGAGCGGGCCTTCTACTTTAGAAGGCCTTGGATAATGTCAAAAAATTTTTGGAATTACCTTCTCTGCAATTTTTGCAAGAACTTCAATAACTTTATCTTCTTTGCTGTAAAAATAAAATTTGAGAAAATGTCAAATTCTAACAAAACAAATGAAACTTTTATTATAAATAACATAAAAATAAGATTTCTTATTAACTATATATTTGTTATGGATAATACATTTTTTTATCAATTAATTTTATTTCTAATGAATTCTAGCATTACATAAATTAAAAATTTTTTAAAAATTTATGTTTTTCATGAGATAAGAAATTCTAAAAAAATAGATCTTTGAATCTTATGAACCACTATAAAAACTATTTGTATAAAAACTGTTTACATATAAAGAATCAAATTCATCAAACTGAATATTTTGTTTATCATCAGCATACAACTGTAAATAAATTGTTATAAAATCAGACCTTTTTGTAACTCTAGCCATATCCCAAGGGATGTACTGTATGAAATGCTCTGGAGGAAGAAACTGATTTAGATAATCAATACTTTCTTTGAGCAGCCCGCTTAATATTTGCTCATGAGCTTTTTTCTCTTTAATCTAAACAAGAGATTTAACTAAATACAACCTTAAAATTTGAAATAGTAAAAATATTAAGTAAAAGACATGAGAAAAAAAAATAACCTTAACAAGGTTAAGAATAATGAGTGGAGCTCCAGATCTAGACATAAGTGAATTAAAATGACTTGCAGATACTGTAAAATAAGGATCCGCACGATCAACTAAAAATAATCCATTATTTAAGGAAATATTTCAGTAAACATGGTTTTATAGTTTTATGGTAATATCAATATAGCTTTATGATTTTATGATAACAGTGATACGGTTTCATTATAACATTGGGACTTGGTTTTATGGTAACACAGTGATATAGTTTTATGGTTACAGTCACATAGCTATATGGTAACATAGTAATATGGTTTTATGGTTACAGTGATATGGTTTTATGAAAATAAATCAAATTATTTATTTTTTACTGTTTTATTTTCAAAAAATAAATATTTTAAAATACCAGTCAATTGCCTGGTTGGAAACCTAATTTGGTTGGTTACCCAGTTTGGTTAATTACCCAACTTAGTTGGAAAACCAGTTTAGTTGGTTACCTAGATAATTACTAGTTAAAAGAGTGTACTAATAAAACCATATTTTGTAAATATTTTAAACTATTTTCATTTTTATATATTTGATAGAATATCTAAAAATATGACTTTATTAGTTTTATTATCAAAATAAAATGCAAGAATTTTTGTTGAATACTTTTTTAAATTCAAAAAGCATTAAAAGTAGTTCTCGGCAATTTACTTTTAATAAAAATAATGAAGCCTACTAGATTGAAATGATGCACTATTAAAAATATGACTTTATTTTAACTATAACAAATAATAAAAAATGATGTATAGCATTTGTTTTTATTTCTTAAAATGTTGTTATATTGTAAACAAACAACAACAACAAAAAAACACTTTAACTAGTTTAAACTTGAACTGAAATATAATGTGCAGAAAAATGATATATATATATATATATATATCCTTATAGTGTAGTCTAAAGAGTCGTTTAATGTAAAAAAAGTCTCTTTCGACTACAATTTTAATTACCTCGTCTTTTAAGCTGTTTTTGATTGTCATCGAAATGTCAAAGCAATTAATTTATGCGGAAGTACATTAAATTTAATTGTTTTTTAAAAATTTTTTAAAAAACCGCAATTATAACGACTAGAAAGTTTTTTTTAATTAGTGGTGTTTTTGTTATTGATTTAATAAAAAACATTTTTAAAACATGCGTAAATGTTGCTACATCGACTATCTTATAGCCTGACTCGCAACGGAGTGCTGCTACATCGACTGAAAAATAGCCTGACTCGCAACGGAGTGCTGCTACATCGACTGACAAATAGCCTGACTCGCAACGGAGTGCTGCTACATCG